AGCTGCTCCAGGCTGCAATGCGAGTAGTCCAGTGAGGTGACGGGCTCCTCCTCGCCCCGAAGGCAGCGGCACGGCACCAGCCGCACAAACAAACTCCGCTTGCTGCTCATCCTCACCACAGCTCAGGCACTAGAGAGGAGAAAGAGAACACGATCAGCACCTCAAGAACCTTAATAATTCATGGACAGGAACACTGCGATACAGGATAGTGGTCAAAACAGCTTGGTTTACAGCTAAGATGAACACGGTGCAGGAAACCAGCTTTTTACGGTTAGTAATTGATCTTGAGTAGGTATTGTTGAAGTAGGTGTTGCTCATTTAAACACTTTTTAAAATAATTTTAAAGTAAAGTACTTTTATTATGATTATTTATTTATTGTAATTTTAGATTTTTTTCTTTCTTTTGGCAAACATGTCCTTTAAATGTAGTCATTTCAATGTCATATTTATTCATTTTTCTACAAAATATCTTCATGTTTCGACTGTAATGTCGCAAACTTTAACTGATTTAAAAATTTTTAAAGAAATCTTGAAAATAAATAAATAAAAATAAACACCGATTTAAACTAGTGTTATTACAGTTAACTAAAACCAAGTGTTTTCGTTACTTGAAATAAATGTTAACTAAATTAAAATAAAATATTAAAAAATGCTTATTTACGTTAGTTGCCAAGTCATCATTTACCATTTTAATTTAGTTTAATTTAATAAAATATAAATTATAATTTAATAAATAAAATTATAATATAATATAAATAAATATAAATACACACAAAAATGAAGACATATAAAACCAAAGACTACTAAAAATGACAACAACAAAAATATGACTAAAACTTTAAAATCAGAATGAAAGGAGAATATAAAAAACCTGATTCAAAATATTAATAAAAACTATATAGTACCTCAGTGACACTAAAATAACACAAACATAAACGACAAAATATGACGTGTGAAAACTCCATTTATGATACTGAATTATGTTGTGAATATGTCGTAAAGCATTACTAGAATAAAAATTAAAACCTGCTATTTATCAACAAAGCTTTTTGTCCTATCTTTGGCAGTTTGAGAAATCACTGACTAAAATTTATTTAGTCATTGTTATGTTTTTTTCAATGAACAAATGAATGTTTCCCCGACTAATTTTGTTGGCGAGATTAACACAGGTTTGGACATAAAAATACTGCTAATACAGCCGACAATTACTCATCATCTACAATAGCACTGAGAGGAGCACATTAACATTCATTAAAACCCATTTATATTCATAGCTGGCCTGAAAACAGCGTCATTATACGATGTCCTTTCATTCTGTTGAAATGGAAAAAGGCCCTCAATACGGCATCAAAAAGGCCGGCCCAAGGTTTGCTCATGAATCGACACACAGAGCGGTTTTCACAGGCGCTGCTCTACAGTCATACAAACACAACAGCAACAACAATCACTGCTGTAGACACAACTTCCTCTCTGGCCCGTCATGAAGAGCCCTTCAATCTGCATGTGCATGACAACAATGAAGCGCCAATGCTAATGCTATTTAAAAGCACGAGCAACGTTAAAATCTGCTGAGAAAACCATAAAAACAAGAACATTTGTTGCACAACCAGAGCCACGGGAATTCAGTTCTGCATCATGCACAGCACGTCAATGAAAGTTTACTTTAAAAGACAAGGTGAATTGTTGTTTAACAACCTATTAAACTTCCTGAATGTCACATGTTTTTTCTAGGGAAACGGGATATTCGATAAGAAAAATCAGTAGCTTGGAACATCATCTATTGAAATTGATTGGCTCATGAACAGAGAGCAGGGCTCTACGCTTACTTTTCTTTTTAGGAGCGCTTGTGCTCCTAATTAAAAAAATTCAGGAGCACGGTCAAAAATTTAGGAGCACCTTCTAATCAGTAATCAAAAGTTCTGATAAAAAAATGTACCTTCCCATTAGTGCAGTAGTTTTCAGTCGCAAATTCGCACTGTAGAGCCCTGGAGAGTGCTACATACCAGAATGTGGAGTATGAAAAACCAGAGATGGGTATCAGATCAGATGGTTTAGACTTGATAAGTCATTTATGCATTGGGTAGAAGCTTGTTGTTTTCACTGGTTCTGGTTATCTGTATCTGTCCACATTATCTATCTATGGCATCAATACACCACAATCTGCACTTTCAGAGCAGTGCGTGAGCTGAAAGACCACCGAGCACAAAACCTTCACCACTGGGGCCGCAGAGAGCTAGAAGAGTCACTACTGGATCACATTCATGACGCCACCGACACTGTGTGTCCTGCTACCACTGCATGCCAAATAAATGCTGGTATTAGGCATGGGCCGATATGAGATTTTGACGGTATGATAACCTTAAGCAAAAATATCACGGAATCACGGTATTGTCGTTACAGCTCTAAAATGTCTTATTTTTAAATGACTGGGTAAAAAAACTGCCTGCTGCAGTATTTTTCTCTGTGCGTCCGTCTTCAACGTCTCGGGCCTGTGT